TGTATGTATATATGTATGTGTTTAACGTAGCCTTAATTACCGTTAAAAATCCCAATTGCTTAAGATTTAATTACTGGTACAATAAATACACTTGCCACCGGCTAATTCTTCATTTGTTCGGAAATACGCTTCCATAATCTCCAGCAGGAATCTGTCGTTGTGGGCGTAATAAATGAACAAGGTGAAATGGTGATTAGTTGCATTAGCAATCGATCGGTTTAATTAGCAGTAATGGACGAGTGCCTAGGGTAATTTTAAGGCAAATACATATATGCATATTAGGACGGGTCGCGACCGCTGGAAATGTCCATATATATTTATGTTCGAATTTGGTAAATTTAATCTGTTAATGTTGTACGTGTTTCTATCTTTGTTTCTTTCATTAGTTGTGGTAACAGCATTGTTGTTTTGGTTCTCTGTCTGTTAACCAATGTGCTGTGGAGTAGTGCTCATAACAATGCGAGTGGAGGGCAAGTTTTGTATTTACATGGATCTGCCATATTGATGACTAAATAGAAGATTGGGCGACCGATTTTTGTTATTTCACTTTAATGAGGGAATAATTAAAAACATATACATACATATGTATGTATGTATGTGCATAGTCATTCGATGTGATTTGGAAATGGTTTGTATTAGAGATGGGCAAAACACGTGATTTTCTATGCGTGGGCATAAGTGATCTCGAGAGAAAAATCACCTAACTTCCGTGATCGTGCGGAACTGAAACTTTGGCGGGCGTGAGCGTGCGTCAGTTAGATTTTCCGTCAATCACGTAATTTTAACATATCGAGCCCTAACCGCCAAAAAAATGTTAGCGACATTTTATTTTCAAAATTTTCCTTTTGATGATCGTAAAGCATCTAGATGCATTTCTGCATCAAAATTAAAAATTTCAAAAAAATTTCGTTAAACATCTTTTTGGCGTTTAGGGCTCGTATGATATATGTATACATATCTGCACATATGTATGTGTATTTTCAACCAAAATAAAATCGTAAACTACTATTGTTTAACTTATTTGCTGTATACACTTCTGACGAATTCAAAGGTACAAACGATGAATCTGCAGGAAAAGTTTTTGAAGACATTAATGCGAAAATACAGATTTACTTGAAAAAATCAGAAAACAAAAGTTGTGACGATGTTTTAAAATTTTGGGAGAGCTAAAGATTTTCCACTTCTTAGAAGCTTTTTAAGACAAATTTTAAACATGGCAGCTAGCTCAGCATTGGAGTGCAATGGGGTATAGTCAGTGGCGGATCCAGCGGGGGGGTTTTGGGTGTTAAACTACGTGTCAGTCAGTGGCGGACGCATGGGGTATGTTTTAATATGGCGCATATGTATGTCTGCTCTGCCTTTTCCAAGTTGGATAGGGAAGCAAAGGGAATGGGTCTGGTGGTAAACGAGGACAAGACGAAGTATCTCCTGTCATCAAACAAACCGTCAGCACATTCGCGCTTTGGCACCCACGTCACTGTTGACAGTTACAATTTCGAGAAAGTAGAGAATTTCGTTTACTTGGGAACCAGCATTAACACCGATAATAATGTCAGAATGGAAATCCAAAGCAGAATCACTCTTGCCAACAAGTGCTACTTTGGACTGAGTAGGCAATTTAGGAGTAAAGTCCTCTCAGGACGTACGAAAACCACACTCTATAAGTCACTTATAATGCCCGAGCTGGTATATGGCGCAGAAGCATGGACAATGACCATGTCGTTCGAATGGACACCGATGCTCCAGCTCTGAAAGTATTCAACTCGGAGCCCGCTGGTGGTAGCAGAGGTAGAGGGAGGCCCCACTGCGATGGAAAGACCAGGTAGAGAAGGACTTGGCTTTACTTGTCATTTCCAATTGGCGTCAGTTGGCACAGAGGAGAAACGACTGGCGTGCTTTGTTGAACTCGGCCAAAATCGCTTAGGCGGTTACAGCACCAAATAAGAAGAAGAGAAGCCAGCTCAGCAACTATTGAAAGAGTTTTTTCTGTAACAGGTATAATTCTAGAACAAAGGCGTACACGACTGCTTGGTGATAACCTCGGCAATATATTATTTTTAAACAAAAATATGAGCTAGTCATTTTAAAATTACATTGAATGAATATTGATGTGAATTCTTTTCTACCCAGCAAAGATTTGGAGTCATAAATGAGTCTTTAAGGAGTACCTTTTCGGAGGTTACGCTCATAATGAGCTAATTTAAGAGTCCGAAATGAGGGTGTTTCCCTTCCTGCGAAGGTCGAGTTATATGAGCTTCAATTCATACATAAATGAATCTCAATATGAGTCACATTGGACTCTTATTGGCCAAAAAATCCCCGAAAAAACGTGCGTGACTAAAAAACTAGGCGTCGTGAGCGTGCGTGAACATGATTGCAAAAATATAACAGAACATGATTGTGAGAGATTTACAAAACCATCAACGTGATCGTACGTGAACGTGAGCCAAAATCACTCACGCGCCCATCTGCAGTTTGTATTACTCAGATGCCGGCCAAAACTTTTAACAAACGTAATACGGTGGTCCAGACGGAGGAGAACTTACTATCACCCAAACATTGAAAAAAGTCTAGGGATCTATGTACATAGACAGTTTTTATGAAATTTATTAATAATTATATGATGAATTAATTTATTTCCTAGAGAAAACATTTCAAACATTTTGCTAAACTTAGTTGATAGTCAACAAAATCGTTTGCGACTCCTATCAACCAATATTTCTTCATCTTCATAATTTACGGAACCAAAATTCTCAACATTACCAAAGTGTTAGGAAAAGTTGGCTAATCGCGGTTGTTTACGCACACGTATGTGTGTACATTAGGGCGGTCCAAAAAAAAAGTAAAGTCGGAAATTTAATGCTCTTACCCCCTAGGATTGTTCTATACCGAAAAAAAGTATACCCCTGTTTTTTTTATTTTAAAATCAAAATATATTTAGAGGTCGCTCAAAGCGCTCAAAGTTTCCCATGTATTTTGTATGGGGAAAAAAAAGACTTTTCGTAGAAATGGCATAGAATCCATGGAAATCAAAATTTTTCAATCTGAAAGCTCTGCTTCTCTTCAGAAGAATTCAGAGAATAATGCCCAATTGTTTATTTAAACATTTTTTAATTTTAACTATTTTGTAAGGGTCTCCGAAATATCCCAAAAAAAATCAAATATACAAACAGAAATATACAAAAGAAGAAAAGAAAAAAATAGTTTAAATTAAAAAACGTTTAAATAAACAATTGGGTATTATTCTCTGAAGTCCTTTGAAGAGAAGCAGAGTTTTCAGATTGAAAAATTTTGATTTTCATGGATTCTATGCCACTTCTACGAAAAGTATTTTTTTCCCCATAAAAATACATAGGAAACTTTGAGCGCTTTGAGCAACCTCTAAATATATTTTGATTTTAAAATAAAAAAAACAGGGTTATACTTTTTTCGGTATAGAACAACCCTAGGGGATGAGAGCATTAAATTTCCGATTTTACTTTTCTCCCATACATTTTTGGACCACCCTAGTGTACATACATATGTGTTGCTTAAGTTGACCATCATCTCACACAGGAGTTAAAGGCCATAAATTATTTAACGTCAAAGTTTGATTAAAAACGTAAAAAGGTAATTAGAGATTATATGTCGGAGTGCATGACTCGATTAGCAGTAAAACGTGCTATGTACACAAATCAATATTCTACTTTAGATATGCTGCTACTGCTGATTGCATGTTCCCAGCGTAGGTGTCGAAAAGTTCTCAATAAAGTTGATTTATGTGGTATTGATTGAGGTGATTTAGTTGTGTATTATTTGCTGCGAATGACTAGAAAAGCGGAACAAAAACTAATAATAAATAAAGACATAAAATTTGTTAAATAGCTCTTTAACACATGGAATAGGAAATGGAATAAGATTTGGAATAGGAGTATGATGTGAAATGGAAGCAGAAATTCGAATAGGAATAAGTATAAGAATAATAATTGGAATTGGGACTAGAATTGGAATAGGAGTAGAAACGGGAGTAGAAATATAAATTGGTTTAGGAATAGAATTAAAAATGGGAATAGTAGTAGGAATTAGACTATAATTAGGAATTGCAATAACAATAGGCACAGGCATAGAAAGACAAGATAAGTTATAAGGATAGAAAGGGGCGTAACTCGGGGCAACAATCAATAATAGCTGCCACTTTAGTACATTCGTAACAACTTTTCAACGCAAATGGCATTGTTTGCATAATACCGACTCATAAATAGTATTAAATTGCTCTGTGTGAACGCGTAGGGCAACAACAAAAGAGAAGTTGCAGAAAATGAGCAACAAAAGTTTCTCTGGGTGAAGCCAGTGTAAGTCATTCAGCATACAGCGAAACGGGACGTGTTGCAACAACAGTAAGCGGAGCTAGGG